ATGATGATGATGATGATGATGATGATGATGATGATGATGATGATGATGTAGAAATGAATGCTACTTGGGTAGGGCACCCCGGAGACAAACAACAAACAGTTGTTCCACTCCCCAAAATTGTTCCCCTCGAAACAATTGGACACCAACCCCCTCTCATTGATTGAATCCAAGAATCCACTTGACTTGAAATGAAACATGTCCGAGGAAGTCCGAAGCAGGTCATCTCTTTGAGAGGCTAGTGATTTGCATGGCTAGTGCGCTTTTTGGGTCTTCTTGAGGTCATCTTTCGGACCAAAAGAAACAGGTCATCACCTTTTCCTTGGCGAGCGGTTCATCTGCGCAACGCGCCTTGCCCGGTGCTCAGTGAATTGCTGAAAATGGCAGGCCATGGGCCAGCGGCGTTTGAGGGACTTTGTATTAATTCCTGGCATAGCATCTCACATGCGACTGGTTGGGAAGTATTTGGAAGACAAAAAACTCATTTGGTTGCGCTAGCTGGTTACAGCATGCCAATGCATGTCAAAGATAGATGGTTAATGTTGCAAAAGACACTCCCCCAGTTTCAAGCACACACCTGCAACAGTTTGTTTGTTTTTTTCCAATTTCTAATCTATCTATGTTATATATATATATATACAGAGAGAGAGATTTTGTGTGTGTGTGTGTGTGTCCGTGACTACCCATGATGCGTGCTGCTATGGATTTTCTGGGGCTGTAAACGGCTTTCCCTTCACAGCCCTTGGTCCCACAAAACCTAGGGATTTGAGACCCCAAAGCCCTCCACATCATCCTCATTCATCCGTCTAAACGTCCATGGAGTCCATGTGCGTTGGGGGAGAGCTATCCTTTGATCATCTTTGAGCCCAGGTTGCAATTGGCAGCTGCCTTGTTGAGCCTCCATGGCGTGTCGCCGGGTCGCCTGGTTTTTCGCCGCGGTGGTTTTCCGGGCGCCGAAGATCGAGGCAGCTGGGGGGTGGAACGAAGCATGATCGAAGGATGATGAAGATGAACCCTGGACTTCCGTTCGACCATTAAACAAATGGGAACGACCTGGTGTTTGTAGTGTAAAATCCTCAGTTAATTCGGTACTAGTAGAGCCTATTAAATGAATGGTTGTTGGAAGCCTAGGGTGAAGGTGCTGCAGGATGCAGTTTAGGCAGTTGGAGCTGGAAAGCTAGTCGACTGGCCCGAGCAGGCAGTCTTACCACAGCCGTTCGCACATGAAGCAGGAAGGGTCTTACCATACACCACCCACCAAATATTTGTTGAACTAGTGCCCAGAATTGGTTGAAGGGAGCATCTGCAGCAGGAAACACAGAATGTTCATCCCCAAAACGATGGGTGTCCTGTAGATGTTCCCCTCAACCAATTCTGGGTTCCCGCGGCGTCTATCCTTCCACGGGCTTCGACCATATGTTGATTTGCTCCTGCAAGCCCAAACAACAAACAACCAGAAACACATGGATGTTTTTGTCCTAACGAATCTCAAGCAAGCCGTATTGGAACAACCATGTCATTTCTGCTTTCACTTGAGTTTTCAAGTTGATGTGCATCTGGTCTTTGGGCCCTCCGATGGCCAGCTGGTTGCATGGATTCAAGTCTGTGGATCGAGACCGAAGCATGTGCCACACAAAGCAAGAGGACCACGAAGTCTCAGGGCGACGGGAAATGCCTAGCATGTGCAGACTGAATCAGACCCCGGGAGAAACAGCTTTGACATGGATGGCCCGGACTCCAAAAGACAGTGCAGAGTCGAATGCCCGACAGTCGGAGCAGTTGATGAGATATCAATGCCACTCCTGCGCAGGACGCACGGACCACCGACGGTTGATCAGGAACCACCTATACCATGAAAAGTGGCGCCCCCTGCTGGGTATTATTTTTATCAAATCTGTTCAGTGTGTGCTGCATCCAGAGTGGTTTCACAAGAATCCAGCGCAAATTACAGTCGAATGGCATACCGGGGGGGCAAACATTTACAAACTGGTGTTGCATGGCGTGATTTTTGCCTGTGGGCGAATCATGCTGAATCCATTTGATTCCCCTTCCATGGGAAAAAACGTTTCCCTTTCCTACCAGGGGCCCTCAAAACCATGGAAAATAAATGGTTTCACATACAAAAACAATGCTGTTTGCTAGGGAAAACCAGGTTTTTGATGGTTTGTGGGGCCCCTTATGGCCCCTGGTAGTGGATGACAGTCAGAATTGCCACAGAACCTGCAGACCACGCTGATGTCTTTGCTTCCTTTTCCGCCATGGTGGCTTTGTGGACTTCTCTTTCGCCCCTTGCGATGGATCCAAGAGAAGTATCCGGAGACCGCGACACATGCGTCGGACGGACGCGTGCGCAAGTAGGGGAGAGGCAGCTTGACTAGCCAGCTATGGGTCCCCCAAAGGTCTTTTGCTTGTGAGTGGCCCAAGTTATGAGCAAGGCAGATGACTCCCATGTTTAGACATATCTAGCAATATGTTGATCAGTTGATCATTATGTTGTTTCTTAGAGTTTGGATTGGCCCAAGCGTGTTTGGGTGGTCTAGAGCCAGCTGTTTTCGATCAGGAAGAAGTCGACGTTTTCGGCTCACCTGGTTCGCTACTATTTGTGAGTCGATGTTGAAAAACCACCTGATGTCTTGCAGAGTCTTGCACCACATGTTGGAATGTCCCCCAAAAAAGTAGACCAAGTTTGAAAGATCAACTCAATCACCTGCACGGTCTTGATATGAGCTTGATGTTTGTATCTGCAGGCATTACTGCTCAGACCCCACGAAGGCCTCCAAACCGCAGACCGCCGAACGCCACCCGGCGTGCCGTCCAAGAGCGTCATGTCCTTCGCCAGCTTGCCCAGCCAGACGATGGCGCCGATCAGCCGGCTGATGGCGTTGGTCTGGGGCAACAAGGAAGTGATGCAGAAGGATTCCAAGGCACGGCATGGCCATGGGGCATGGCAAGTGGATGCAAGTGGCATAGCACAGGCTGGTTCTTTTTGCAACACCCCCCTTGACGCACTTGGGACATGTGAGGACCCAGTTGGAAACAAATTGGGCGGCATGCCATGTCTACACTTCCGCGTTTCTTCTTCTCGTTTTTGGATGGGTCGACGGCTTCAGGCTGTCCTCACAAAAGATGAGAAGCAGCTCAAGGTCGAAAGCAAGATCGAAACCAACAAGCGCCAGAAGGACACCACTCCGACTTCTCCTCTCCCCAAGTCGGCCTCCGCATCCACACCTCGGGAACCCTTAATTTGGCCAAATCCGCCAGTAGATGACAGATCAGATGGGCCTCAGCCCCTCCACCATTGAAAGCTGTTGTTGGTGAAAAGAAACTGTAGTTGGAGTCGGGCGTGGAGGTGGTGCACGATGCCACGCTGCACGTGTTCTGAAGCCAAAAACCTCGGCGGGTCGCGACCGTTGGGCTTTTTGAACTCCAAAAGCTGCTTTTTTGTGCCGTGCTTGCCAAGCTGGGCTGCTTTTTGCCCAGGCTGGGCTTGCGCAAACAGTTTCAAGATGAACAGGTCGAACAAGGTTCACACCTTCCAGAGTCGAACATATGTATATATATATGGATATGATATACATATATAACTCACCATGAATAAGTCAAGTCCCTTTTTTCACAGGCAAGGATATCAGACTGCTCAGGTGGACTGCTCAGGTGGACCAAGGGACTGCTCAGGTGGGTTGGCCCTTGACGTGCTCGGTTTTGGGTCAACACCCCAGAACTGGACTTCGCTGGAGAAGTACGACGATTGTTTGCACCCTTGATCCATCAAGCATCCACCCACCGCCCACGAACACAAAAAGGTGGACCTGAAAACCTGGCAGGTGCCATGACAGATTCAAACAGTCGTCCCGTTGATCCACCTCAGCATCAGCATGCGAACAATGTGCTTATCCACATCATGGCTCGCATGCATTCCTTCCAGAAGAACCTGCCGTTTTGTAAAGGAAACTCCTCTTTCCCGTCACCAGAACCATGTCGAAGTGACACACTTCAAAAGGTTAATCATAAGTTGCCAGGGAAACCGAGGGAGTCAGATGACAATAGTGGAGGTTTTGCCATGTATAGAAACTGGGCAGTGGCTGGCACAAAAGTTGTGTTTTTGTCAATGTTTTTTTCTGGGACCGGTTGTCGCAACTGATGACTTTGTTTATTTTTACTATACCCTAGGGCTCCAACCACCTCCTGAGAAGGTGGTTGGGGTGGGTTTGGGGGGTCTAACCACCTCTTGAGGAGATGGTTGGAGCCCTAGGAAGATACTTAAATTACCATACATCTGAAAGGTCAGGGGAGAATCTTCCTGACGCAGAGAGCATGGCAGCAAAGCACCGAACGAGATTCCTATCAACCACCTACCAGCACCCTCCAACAGGTCTCCTTTGGTGGCTTGTGGAGATTTAAAAGTGGCAGGTGGTGACCTGTGAAGTCGGGTGCGGGTACAGTAACTTCGTTTTGGTATGCACTGGAAAACAAGCAGGAAAAACCGTTAGCTTTGAGTGGCACATTCACGTAGAACAAAGGAAACCACTCCAGGACCTTCAAAGTGACCAGCCTTGAGATCCTAGTGGCTGAGGACTTATATAGTCCCTAAAGAGGTCACAAACAGAGACTCCAAAGGGGCACGTACCGAAGGTCCTGAGTCCTGACTGGACGACCTGTTTCTTTCTTTCGCAGGAAGTTCGCATCGATGCGACCACCATGGTGCCCACCGACCTATATTGGAGCTCCTTGGGTGAGAACAGGTGCTGAGAACTGCGTCGCTTCGTTTTAACGGATGGAACATGCTTTGTGAGACACCCGGGAAGAGACTCACATATGGTACCTGATGGCATGAACCTTTGGAAGGCTCTACAACCCAGTGGTGAACTCAGGTTCCATGTTGTAAGGAAACTTGCTGGGAAGCTACGGAAACTGGGAAGCTACGGACACTTGTTGTAACTGTTGTTTCCTTTGGATGCAGTGCTATGGTCAGGCAAGTTCTTGTGCGGGGGGCTGTGACTGCAAAAATGACAACCTCTTTGCAAAACCCTTGGTGAGGATTGTAAAAGGTCATGGTGACCAAACATTTACGCAGGATTCATGCCCTTTGGACGAGCCCACCGTTTATTTTATATCTATTACGATTCGAATCCCGAACAACCGACTACAAAACCAGGTCTGTCCCGAAGAGACTCGTGATGCTCCAGACGGCGCGTTCGTCCGTGCCAAGGGGCCCCGCGTCTCGCCCAGGCCTCCTTCGCGCAGGAGAGCGTGCGAGGAGTGTGGGGCAACATCGCTTGAAGACCGCGTCCAGGCGGGGCGGACGGTGGTCCACGGTCCACTGGGCCGACTCGTTTTTTGGACGTGCGACGTGCATGGATGCATTGCAGCGCCCGCCCTTTGCATCGAAGGTGAGATCCCGGGTCATGATGGGAAGGTTCAATCGTTTGATATCCTGGTTTGGGATGTCCTATTGGTCCTATGGCTTTAGCACATCACGATGCGCATGGTGGGACATCGTGATGAACCTTTCCTATTGTCCCTATTGGTTTAGGACGGGTTTGGGATGCACACCAGATGTCCTGTTGGTCCTCCTGCGACGGCCTGTTGGTCCCAGTGCTGACAACGTTCAGAGACCTTGAGAGGTCGGGTGCATTCCCCACTGCTACCAGCAACAGCTTGGTGGTAAACGAACCATCCGCCACTGTTCCTAGTAATGGGATCAAATGATCCCTAGGCCCTAGGATTCAAACAACCATTGTTTTAATGGTCTGAATCCCAAAAACCATTGTTTTACTCAGGATTTTTTACATATTTTTCACTGTAATCCACCCAGCTCAACCGTTCTTTGAATGGTCCAACTGAAGGCGACCGGGTGATCAGACCACTAAAAACCGAAAAACACTCTATGACATCCAACGGGTGGGAACGTGCGGTCCACCGCCTCGCCTTGGGCCTTCTTGGTCCGTCCAACCGGCCAAGCGACTGGTCGACACCAAGCGACTGGCATGTGACATGATGCATGTGGAATGGCAAACAACTAAGACAGGTAGCCAGTGACCGTAAATAGGACCCGTCACCTGGGGTACCAGACTGGGATAGTCGAACTAGGGTCCTTCAACCTCTGTTGGCAAGACGATGGAAGAAGCGTTCAATCGCTCTTAGGGTGGAACCACAGAAATTCCATCGAACCCCCCGAAATCCAGGGTCATCGTGAACATATACCCAGAAACGTCCGAACTCCAGTTCGATGTTCAGGAATCCAATGGTCCAGATTCCCCAATATACTGTTTCCTCCTCTTGTCAACCATGCTTCTTTGCTTCCTTCCCGTGGGACCACTCGTCCTAGCCGTCCGGTCCTGCAACATTTATGAATCCCAGAATTGGCTTACGGGAAAATGTGCAGAATCTACAGGAAACCCATACTTTTCAGCCCGGAAACTATGGGTTTCCTGCAGCTTTTCCCTTCAACCCACTCAATTTCAGGGCACTGTCCTTCAAGTCCAGCTGAGCGGCAGGCAATCAAGCAACGAGCCACACTTGGTGAGAAGCTGACGGAGAAGGGTGGATGAACTGGTGCCTTTTTCACGTGCGGCGTGCCGTCAGGGGCCGTCTCACGTGCCTTAAACGGGTAGTAGTACGTAGGGGTTCAGTATGTTCCAATCCCATACACTCCATGTATGGAATATATGCCTACATTGACCCCCCAAACCACCCCAATGTAGGCATATATGGCATACATGGAGCGTCTGGGAATGATCAATGCCTGCATTGGCTTGAAGAACGCATTCTGTTTGGGCGGTCAACTAGGGAACAAAGAATTGATTGGACGAGGGCTGTCATGCTGTCATGCTGCTAAGCATCACTTCACCCGACAGTCGAGCATCCATGTTTGCAGCATGGTTGGAAGATTCTGTTGGCCAGGTTTATGAGGTGACAAGAGCGAATGCCAGATTAAGATTGATGAAGACAAATACCAAGTCATCCTAATGTTAAAAAGATTATTTTTTTCATTATGATTCGGTATGGACCTAATACTGCCATGTTGAAGTTCGACCTGCCCAAGCATGTCACGACACGCAGGGTTCAGTTGCTGTTTCGAACAGTGGGGTTGGGGCACGACTTGGGCGACCAGCTATAAACATGAAACAATGAAATGGCATCAAGACATGAAAAGGCAGCACGAGTTTCTCGTGCGCAAAGTTTTGCTTAATTATTCGCTTATTTTGTTTTGGTTGGCTGATTGCGGCAGATGTGATCAGATCAAAGCCTCACCACCAGCGCTGTCACTAGCTAAGTAATTACTGTAGTTGACAGCTTGCTGGGGGGATGAATCTGATGCTTATTTCGTTGTTCACCAGTTGGGCATTGTGTGTGCGTGTTGCCCACAGCCCAATACACTGACTGACCGTCATGACTCACTTTCTATGCTTGGTGGTTTGACAGGCAGTGTTGCTAGAAAGTTCACAGACCCAATGTTATATATAGAAGTGAGTATAGACAGAGGTGTTATGCGCACTCCTTATTTATGAATGCAGTTGTTTGTATTTGCCATTGCCACTTATAGGCAGCAATAGCCGCAATAGCTGAGTAATGTTGAATAACTATGCATATCTATAAATTATACTACAATATAACATAATTGTCATACAATCGACTGTTACTATGTCTTGAACTATGTCAACGTTGTTGGTGTGCGACGACCACGGATGGTTTGCAGCGTGACCAATGGCAGGTGATTCGGCTGAGGAGTTCGAGCACGCAGTTCCACCTAAAATAGCATTAAGTAGGCTTCGACCAGAGGCGTGGGGATGGTGGGGGATGGATTGCATCAGGAATTAGGTTTCTCGTTGATTGTGGGATTTTGGTAGGTTTTTAATTCGGCTGTTCAGATGGCCTCTCAGGTTGTCGACATGAGTGAGAATGCATCAAGGTTTCTGGTTGTGGAAGTCATACGTATAGGCCTTTGGTTGCACAAACATGTTGAGGAATTCCTCGAATCAGTAGACAGTAGACATGTTGACCAGGTGCAGCTGAGCCTGCACACTTGGTGGTAGGAATTTAGGAATGGAAGTTGCATCCATCAGGTGATTTCGAGATGTTCTAAGAGTGAATGTGTAGGGAAATGTTCCATATCTTGCTTTTTTGGGAAGAGATGTTCCAAGTGGCACTTGGACTGGCCCAAGATGTCACACTAAAGGAGCGCTCGTCCATTTATGTTCAAGGGCCAATGTGAATGGTGCCAAGTGAAGTCAGAGTAGTTGTTTCAAATCAAGATCGTAGCCCGTTTTGCATTCCGTTCAGGCATTCAGAAACGGTTCATTGACCTGCCTAGGCTAAACTTGTTAGTAAAACCAATGGCTGTTCCTGATTCGAAGCGTGAACATCCATGGCGGGCTTGGAATTCGCACCGGGTCGCCTACCCAGTAAGTGGAAGGCTAGCCTTTCACCAGTCCTTGGAGACCTCGGCCCCGGGCCTCCACAAGAACCGGTGGAGGTCGTTGGAGGCTTCGATGTTGCGGGAGTCTGAAGACCTGTGAAGAGTCTGTCCATGACCCCCAAGACCAACCGCGAAACCACCGGATCCATAGAAGACCCATCGATCAAGATCTATGGTTTTTCGTGGTGGCCTATAGAGGAAAAACCGGTGAAAAACTATGATTCGCCCCAGGAAGTCCAGTGATCCGTGCTTCCGGGGCCAATGGATTCCCTGGGCAACACCGGAGAAAAAGGAGACATGAACGACACATGTGGTGTTTTGAAATCCCATGGTTGGGTGCCTCTCCCTGGTTGGGTGATTGGGTGCCTCTCCTTATTTCAAGACACCCCCACTTTAAAGATGCACCCCAGTTTTCCAACACCAATTGAAAGAAAGCTTGACCTAGTTTTGTAGTCTAAAGTTCTCAGGAAAGCCAATTTGTTGTTTTGGTACAACAGGCATTACAGCCAAGGTCAAGGTGGTTGGAATCCTAGTGTCTTGCAATCCAGCAGTCCTCGGGCCAGGCGTGTGATCAGTTTTTGACAGCAGGCCGTTTCACAAGAACTTTGGCCGAACGGCAGGTGATGTGGCAGTCCAAACTCTGGCAACAAGTGAGGCTTCATGATACATCATACAAACCCAAATCATGTTGTGGACAGTTTACTTGTTCAAGACCTAGGATTTATATATCGAGACCAAGCTTTCAGAATTCCTTGCAACTGAAGGGGGGCTTCTTTAGGACAGTTTAGGACATTGGCCGAGGTCTAGCTTAAGCCTTTCATTGAGGGGGGTTGTTGTTTTTGTTTTGTTATTTTGCGGGGGTCTCCCCCCGTAGATCTGGGATGGCTGGATGAAGACCATAAACTCAAGTTGGATTTGATATCCGGCCAGTTTGCTCAGTTCAGGAAAAGGATGAATACAATTGAATTTATGTTGCTAAGGTGATCATATATTTAGATACATACACATTTTTATATAATAAGAGGTATAGTCTTTTAAGCATCAACCAACGTCAATAGTCCAGTCTGGTCCGGGTCGACGCAGCTCCGACCGAAGATCTTGCCGAGTTTGGACCGCGCCCCGTGTGTAGCTGCCAGCTGTCCTCCGTCCGAGACGGACCGCTTTGCACCAGCCGCCGTCCGCCCCATGGTACGGAAACCACGAGCGACTCGGATATTCGGATTCGGTGCATCGACACGTTGCATGGACATGTTTCGCCATCCCAAGTGACGCATTTGCGTACTTTTGCTTATGATGTGTTATTGATGCATGATGATGTATGCAGTGTACCTGTTCCCACTGTGGCTGCAGTGTTGGGAGTCTTCCTCTTGAAGGAAGATCATGGGAGTCCACGACCCAGGAGTCCATCATACGACCCAGGTACGGAGCCTGCAAAGCGATAGACAAGATCACATGTTCGGCTGCTGCTGCTGCTGCTGCTGCTGCTGCTGCTGACTATTGCTGACTATTGCTGACTATTGCTGACTACTGATGACTATTGCTGATATACTGAACTTACTTAACTATTGCTGCTGCTACTGCTCATACGTACTGCTACTGCTAGGGTATAAACACATATTCTGTACCTGTACCTGTTTGATAATTAGCGCTGTTGGGGACTCCCGCACCAAGATCAATGGATGGATAGTCGCAGAGAAGTGGGTTTCAGCACTTGGGCAGGCAGAATTGACTTTTAAAAAGCCTTTGGCCCTCAGGCCAGCCCTGAAATGGTCGGGTCACGTTCAGGAACCCATTTGTCCAATCCAATTATCAGCCCCGAGATCCGTCGGAAAAGGGCTCCGGCCGTTCTGTTCACGAGCAAAGCCATGCAACGCCCTTTTGTGGATGCGGGAACAACCGAGGATGCTCTCTGACACACCAACATGGAAGTTGAATCTAGAATCTAGTCCCTTGGAAGACCACTATCCTTTAAGAAACGGCGTTCTTGTTGTTTGATTTCCATGTTAATGTTGGTGAGTCCGAGGTGAACCCAATGATGCCACCCTGAGTCCATGAAAGTGGACAACCTCCTAACCATTGTAGAGATGTACACTCCCGAAACCTGACATGTCAGGCCAGAAGCATGGCAACTGGGTCGTCCGGCCCCTTCTTCTTTTCGCCCAAAAACCGATGCAGGTTTTGAGGGTCCATGTAAGTTTTGCACGGGGACATCCACGGTTCTCTCCTGAAATGACATCCACGGACACATGATTCTTGGAGAGAGGCTATGTTGAACTGCCTGGGAGGCCTGCTTTGTTTGAACTGCTTAGGCCGCCCGAGGTCTAATGATCAGGGCAATGTTGGACAGTCCAGGCACCCTCGCCTTCGTAAAGGGTTTTTTTCAGTTAGCCATGTTCCACTTCCATGATTGTTTCAAGGAGCGCAATGTGTTTTTGATCACGGACTCCAACTTCCGTCCGCCTGGTGTTCAGGGCACGAACGTGATCCTCCATCCTAAGAGCCTTCTTCCGTCAGGGGCCAGGTTGCCGGAAGGCAAGAAGAGAAGAGGTCCACCCCCCCTCAGAAGGGCGAGTGTGGATGTGGGTTTGGAATTCTCGCTATAGGATCATGTCAGAAAATACCTTGATCTTCCAACTGTGCGGATTTGATGATTCTTCATCCATCAAAAAAAAACATAATTAAACAAGACAAAAAGCAGAAAGGTAGAGATTTTGCATAGTTGGAAGATCCTCGGTATGATCCATGTGATGAAGTATCCTTGTATCGGAAGCTTGGGTAAGGGGAAGCTTGGAGACCCCACGGTCAGTGGGAGACCCCACGGTCGGTTTCTTTGATTTGCATGCAGAGAATAGCTTCGATTCTGTTGAGTCCCAACAGAGGTTGAAGGACCCAGTAGGGTCCTATAAGGTCACTTAACCTCTCTTAGCCATGGAAACTGAAAGCTTTTCTCCATTTTTCTTCCTAAACCCTACACTGGCAATACGAAAAAATGGACAAAAGCGTGTGATGCGAACATGCTCATCGGGTGGTTAGATCTAGCTAACAGTTTAACATGGAGAAACCGCCGCACACTAGAAGGCAAAAGAAAAGGGTTTGAAGGTCCATTCTTTTGTTG